CAGTCTAATTCAATCCCGACAGCTGTGCGGTTCATACCGTCGCGCCGCACCCAGCTCTCATTCTTTCAGCGACAGGTAGCTAGTGGTAGAGTTGGTAGCTAGTGGTAGAGTTGGTAGCTAGTGGTAGTGTAAGCAGGGCCGAGCGAGCACTGTCATTGTAGTCGCAGGAATCCTGCCCGATGGCTAAACTCTTGCTGTATATTTTTCGCAGAAAACGATTTTTGATAAAGATATAATTTTTCAAAAAATTTTCTTAATTATTTTCTATATTAAGACTTTTAGAAAATTAGAATTTTTTACTATTTTTCTATTGTTGAGGAAATTTTTGGAAGTAAAAATAGAAATTTTTAAACCACTATACCGACCTTTTTTGGAACTTATTTTTTTCTATTTTTGTCATCTATTTTGCCATTTATAAACCTATTCAGGTACCTATCTTAATGCCTTTACAACCTAAAATCCAATCCCTATTTATAACTACGACAAGAAAAGAGTTCTTGTTCAAAAATATATCACTCACTCTCATCAATTTCCTCCTCATAACCAGATTCCTTGTCTAAACCTTCGTGAACGTCTTTTTTGGTTGGTAAAAAAACACCTGAAAAATTTATTTTTTGAGATTAATTTTTAAAAATAAATTAAAATTGTGTGCATTTTGTCTATCTTCCATCCAATTATGGGTAAAAATGAAACACAAAATTATTAAATATATTTTTACCTGTTCCTTTGGAGGATGAACTAGCTTGGTCTGACGGATGGTCATGACCTTTAATTATTTAAAAATTAATTAGAAAGGTATGCTTTATTTTATCTAAAATAGTCCTCCTTAAAAATGGATAGAGAAAATTCTACAGGGATGTTTTAGAGAAAATACGGTATACAAGAGCTAAATATATGCCTGCTTGATTATGCTTTTTTTTAAATTTGTGGAGGCCACTCATATTTTTGAAAATTTCGAAATCCTGGTCAGGATCCTGGAAAAAATATAACAGGATTTTCATGATTAATCCTGGAGGATCCTTTCCTGTTCGAAATTTTAATACCCAATCCTGTTACAGGATCCTGCAAATGCGATTTTACCGACCTCTACTCATAATTAAATATTATTACCCTGTGGTGGAGCTAAACCGGCAACATTAGGAGGAAAAGTTGCTGCGTGTGGATGGTATTGTAATTCGCTATTTATCTGGTTTGATAAAAAGACACCTAAAAATTTAATTTCTTAGGATTAATTCTAAAAAAAAATTGAAATTGTTGTGTATTTTGCTCATTCACATCCAATTATGGTTAAAAATGAAACACAAAATTATTAAATATATTTTTACCTGTTCCTTGGGAGGGTGAGCTAGCTTGGCCTGTTGGATGGTCATGACCTTTAATTATTTAAAAATTTAATTACAAAATACCGTATTTGCTCTAGTAATCCCCCAGGGGGATTATTGTTTCAACCCATCTCCAGGGTGGGGGATTAATAGAGCCTGGGGGATTAATAAAGGACTGGGGGATTAATAGAGCAAATACGGTATACTGTATTTTCTGAAATCGTCCTCCTTTAGAGAAGGATAGAGAAAAAGTACTCTGGGGATATTTTAGAAAAATACGATAGATAAGAGTAGGGTGTCGGTTCTTGGAAAATCTTCGGATATTCTGAACCGAACCGAAGAACCGAACTGAAAAATCTTTGGTTCGGTCCAAGTTCAGAACTGACAACTCTAGATAAGAGCTAAATATTTGCCTGTTGGTTGATGCATTGGCACAGAATATTCAGATGTATAGTATGAATGTCCAGCTTGATCTTTAATTATGGAAAACATTTTATTTGAAAATAAATAGTAGTACCAATTGGTTGATGAGCTTGATAGGCTGGATCAACGGGATATTCAACAAAATTTTCATTTGAATAATACATTTGGTCTGTTAAACCAAAATTTTGTTGAACTTGTGGATTTGGACCTCCATATAGAGCAGTTGGATGATACTGGGGAACCGATGTTTGTGGAGTAAAAGAATGAGCATGAGGATTTAAACTGTGTTATATTTAATTTAAATGAATTTAATTTTAGATAGACTTTGGTTTTTTTCTTTGATTTGGATCGGGAATCTGAAAATTTAATTAATTTAATAAATTAATTTTTATTTTTTTATATTAATAATTCTTACGCTGAAGTGTGGCAAATTTTTGTTGACTAAAAGTCCGTGTTGATCTAAAATAAAAGATTAAATTAATTTTTGTTTGGATTAAAATATTTTCATTATTATTTTTAATTAATTAAAATTTTCACTTAATGTTGTGCTAGCCAAAGATGGTTGAGGGAAAGTTTCATGAGGATAAGTTCCAAACGTTGGAACTTGTGGTTGTTGATATGCAAATGATGGTTGATAATGGCCTTTAATTATTTAAGAATTAATTAGAAGGCTATAAAAAATTTTCTTTAAAATAATCTGGGTAAATTTTAGAAATCTGGGGAAATTTTATAAAAAATAGTTAGTTAAGTGCCTGTTGGCTGGCTCAAGAGCATTTGGTTGTAAGGCGTAAATTGGCTACCATAACCTTCAATTAGCAAAAGAAATTATTTTTGTTTAATATAATTAACCTGTATGATAAGGATCTGAATGTTGTATAGGAACCTTAAAAATTTATTTTTAAAAATAATATTTGTTACATTAATTTGAAAATGAACCGAAGCGAAATATCCTCAGTTCTTCGTTTCGGAGCAGACAACACTACTCAAGAATCCCGACCTATGTATTCGTGTTATGTATCTGAGTTTTGAAAATTCCTCGTTTTTTAATTCGAGATTCCCTATGATACAAAACCTCCCCCCACCCCCGATCTTTATTTTTCAAGCAATTATAAATTACTATCAAATACTGCCAAAAACTTACCAAATGAGGAGAGTTTACAGAACTTTGTTGATTTCCACTAGAACTAGTAGTTTCAGAAGTTTCAGAATTACTACTAGGTTCGTCTTCTAAATTTGAAAATAAATTTAAATATTTTTAATTCTATAAAATTTTCAGATTTTTCAAAATTATTTGGTAAATTTTATATTAATTAAAAATTTTTTTTAATTAATTATCCTTTTTTTTCTTTAAATAATCCACTCAATTTAAAATTTATTTTTAAAAAATTTAAATTTATTTAAATTTTTTACCCTCCTCGATTTGTTTCCCTTTATTCAATTCTTCTTTCTCATCACTTTCGGAGGAACTCGATTCTAAATTCAATCTTTGTTTAATTTCATCCATTGGAATTTCAGTTGGAATATCCGTTTTTCCTATTTTGAAAGTAACTCCTTCTTTTGCTTGACTTTCTGCATTGTTTTTCTGACTCGACTCCGAATTAGTTTTTTGTTCAATCTTTTCTTTAGGAATTTCTATATCCATACTTCCTATTTTTAAAATATCCTTTTGACTGTCCGTACTGCTTTTCTGGAGAGTACTCTGGCTTTCTAGAGGTCTCATTTGGGCATCAGAGCTAGTTCCTTCTCCTTCAAATTTTTTTAAAGGTGGATCTGCTACAGAAATTATATTCCCTCTCACTTAATTTTATATAATTAAATTAATTGCAAGTACCAATAATTACTTGGTGGAGGTTGGCTAGGAGGAGATGGACGTTTAGTAGCTTCTAGTTTTTTTCCTTCCGTTGTATCTGATACAGAAACAACTGATTCCTCTTGCTCTTTTTGTTGATGTCCTGGAATTATTTATAAACTATTTTTAACATTTATTATCGAGTACTATCTGGAATTTTACTAGCATGTATTGACATTAAAAATTAAGCCAACATCCCAAAAAATAACAAAAAATTGGAAAAATTGGATTAACTTTATTCCCTATAATAGTACTCACGGTAGTACTATTTTTCACCCCTCCCCAAAGGGGAGTATTATTCAAGGGTGAGGTCAAGGTTGAATGAAATTTCAGGAAATACGGTATACCTATATATTTTTTAATTTTTTACTTGGTCTATTATCAACTTTGGGAGGATAAATTGGTGTTTTCGATCCAGAAACAACTGACTTTCCTGCCGATTTTTGAATTTCTTGTTGGTCTGTAATTATTTTAAAAAAATTTTTTATTGTCAACTTAAGAAACTTTGTGGAATTTTAGCATGAGTTTCTGTTGGTTTGCTTTTTGAATGTTGAACTAAAATAAAAATTTAGTTAATGGAAATAAAGAATTAAAAACATTTTCTTTCTTATCTTTAAGTATCATTAGTTAGGTTGTCGGATAGTTGGAAATCTTCGGATATGCGGATCCGGTATCCGAACCGAAAATTTCGGATATCCGTCCTTTTTTCTGATCCGCATATCCGGATCCGACAACCTTAATCATTAGTGGCCGATAGTGAATGGAGCAGCTGGAAAATCAAAGTTCCGACTTAACACTTTTAAAAAGTACTTTAAATTACACATTATTTCGCAAGTTTTCGAGGGAAATTTAATAAATTGCACTTTAAAATTACATAATCTATTAAAAGGATTGGGAAATAATTGAGTAAATATTACATATTTGTCTACTTGTCCCTGAGTCTCCGACATTTTTGTTTAGAGAAGTATGGGGATTGACTGGTTGGAATTTTGAAGTTGTCGGAGATTTGAATCCCATTTTTGACTGTCCTTCGTTTTTAGATTGAGAAGATGCATGCTCTATCCATTTCTGTTGAAACTGAGGAAAAAATTTTTTTAAATTATACATCTACACGAAAAACTGCGTTTGAGTGATAACGAATTATAAGCTGACTCGAAGACTTGGACTTCGCGGAAAACGTGACCATGATAATTGAACCGAACATCAATTTATGTAAATCAAGGTTTTAGATATGGAGTATGGAAATTCCCAACAAGAGAGATTGTCACATAAACTACTATTACCCCTCTTCCTTGTTGAACTCGAGGATCTATTCGGCTTTGTTGTGGATAAGCTGGTTTGTTGAATTGTGAAGTATTCAATGGATGTGTTTGACGTTGAGTTGCTGGAGCTGTTCTACCTGATTTTTAGATTAAATTGATAGAAAATAAAAACAATAATTTACTTAATGTAGATTTAAGACTTGTCATTCTGCTTGATTGAACAGTTCCTGGACTTTTAGATGATGGTTTAGCTGGCTGCTGAGATAGTAATGCAGAAGCATATGTTTTGGGGGCTCCTCCCGAAGCCTGTGCTGTAGAAGCCATCTTGCTTGACATGCCAGTTTCAGAAGTATTGGGTGGTTTTGAAGCTTCATCTAATACAGCAACATGTGTTTTGGGTGGTAGTAACCCTTCTTTCTCCTTAACATTACCTTCTTCAACAACCTCCACAACTTTTCCCTCCTGCTTTTCATCCCCAATTTTTTCATCCCCAATTTTCTTCGCTTTACCCTCTTTTTCCTTCTCACCCCCTCCTCCTTCGGCATAATTTAAAATTAATAAAAATAAAATAAAAATCCAAAAGAATTTTTGAAACAGCATCTCAATCAAAAACAAAAAATGTTTTTGAGAAAGTTTTTCTTAATTTATTTAAATTTTATTTATGAAAAATTTTATAAAAAATTTAAATTATATAAAAATATTAAGAGAAGATTTAAAATTAAAATAAAATTTAAAATTAAGAGTGAATGCCAGTAATGAGAGGGGATAATTAAGAGGATAGGCATGAGGGTTAATCACACGTCGTCTAACGCTCGCTAATGCCTTACAAGGGCAATGTTATAGGCGGATAGGGCCGCGCAAATTGATTAATTAAGTAATTTAAATAAATTTACAGCTTTAAATTTAAATAAAAATTTAATTTAAATAATTTATTTAAATAAATTTGTTTTTAATAAGTTAAATATTTCAAAGTGTTGTCGTTTTCAGCAAAATGTTAAGTCAATCGAACCCATTAAAATGAACCTAAACATGGTGCTAAAATTGTTCGGCAAGCGGCATTTCCGGTTAAAGTAACAATAGCACCTCTACTGAACAAGTACCAAAAATTCCAAAATATTACAGGTAACCCGTATTAACTTTTATAAAAATGATAAGAGAAGAATTTTTTTCTTAAGTATTTTTGAGAATTTTTTCATTAGAATTTTTTCATAAAAATATGGCATATGCTATCTTGTAGTAAATTTCAAGGCTTCAAAAATGATAGGTACTAAGCCGTATCATTTTGGAACACCTAAATATCGGTTTTTAACGATATATTCTTTACTTAACAACTGATAACTATGATATTCATGGAATTGAACAATATTATAGAAATACATATTGTATTAAAATTTAAGTTAGATTTGTTGATTTTCCATCAAGTTACAGTGAAAAATATGGGTGGTAATATCATTTTGGAATAGAGTGTAATGAGAAATATTGAAGAACATGAAGAACACAGCCCGATCGCTAATAACAGCTCCTATACGAGATACACATGCCAAGCATCAAATATCACATAGAATGCTAAAACTCCGTTGAAACAATATTACTGAAATTGTTAATATTTTATAAAATTTATACTTTATCAACAGCTCCATCAGCATAGTTTAAAATTAATAAAAATTTCAAGGAATTTTTAAAGGGGTCAAAAAACAAAGAAAAATATAAAGTTTTTTTTAATTTATTTAATTTTAAATTTAAATTTTTAAAAAATTTTTAAAGGTCGATAATAAAAGAGTAGAGAGAATTAAGGAGAGAGAGAGAGGTCTTCGAAAATGGAAAGTCTAGCAAAATTGATAGTGAAATAATCTATTTTGCTTGAACTTGAATTGTTATTTTGGCCTTGTAATTTGGATTTTATACAAGCTATTTTGGCCTCTAACACTTATCACACTTAGGAAATGTTTAAATAATCGTAAAAATTGCTCAGCTAAAAATGACAATTTTCCGACTTGGAGGGAAATATTTCCATCTTTGGATTCTTAATGAACTTGGAAACTTCACTCACTTGTTAATACATACAACTGCATAATTTTGTTATAAAAATTCTGATAATCCGAATGCCAAATTCATGTAAACTGATATTCCTGCACCTACGGATTGCGTAATGGTTTTTTGACTTACGGATTGCAGCTACGGATTTTAAAATTAAAATTTATATTGGTAATTTTTCGATAAATATCCAGTTATGTCTCTAATTATAAAACACACAAATTTAGTTATTTTCCTGAATTGGTAGTATTATTATTCAAAATTATAATGTAGGATTTAATAATAATACCAGAAAAAGACAGTAAAGATTTTATCATGTTTTCAAACTAAATATAAATTTAGATAATAAATAATTTAAAAATTAAATAAAAATTTGAATAATATAAAATTAAAGAATAAATATGTATATAGTAGTGTTCACCGAAACCGAAATTTTGACCGAAACTGGAATCGGAACTTGATCCATTTTGAGTTCCGGATCCCGGAACATGAACCTCAACCAAAAAACGCCTTAACTTTCCGAAACGTGGAACTTCCGGTGAAACTCTAATAGATAGACATGAATTTTTAAATACTTTTTTTAAAAGTTTGGGAAATTCTGTTAATAAATTAAATATTACAGACCGGACAGGGGTACTCGATAGAGTTTTCAAAAAATTTTCTTGGCCGTCTCTAATATTTAATTAAAGTATTTCACTGTCAATTAACCAAATCCCAAAAACAGACGGTCAAAGACAGTCGATAGTTAAAGAAAGACTGTCTGATATCGGTTGTGAATTACTCTAATATAAATAAGATATGTACAAGCGAAATAAAATTGTGATAAAGATAGTAGCTTGAAAAGATTTTTTGTAAATTCAAGGATATAGGGAATGACCAAATTAGAGTTGTAAAAGGAAAAATTCTATAAATAATTACTATGAACATAGAGCTTTGAATTCGACTAATTTTTCAAAAAAAATTTTTTAAATGTTTTTTATAAATTCTGTAATATAAAATACAATTGTCTCAGGTTATAACAAAAAAAACTTTCATAGATAAAGAATCGATGTTAATTTTTAAAATAAAAATTAAATCCGTGCTATAACCGGAGATAACTGTAATTGTTCATGCTAAGATAAAGACTGATATACTGTATCACTCAAGATGGACAAAAAAATTTCTAGAAGAATGTAGGTTCTACTAAAAATCATGTATATCAGACTTCTCTATAAAAACATGCTTGAATTTTAGTAAAATATAAATCAAAATCACATCTTTGGGGGCAAAACACCGGCTGAACAAAATACCGTCCCATAACTAGTGTCGAGGCAGTTAAGCCGATATAATTTGTCCCTGAAACTGGCAATTGTTTCTGGTCGGTATTTTGATCATTCGGTGTTTTAACGCATCAAATCATCCACTCAAAAATTTCTCTTCCTCATAATAATAATAAACATATCACCCATTTAAACTCTTGTTAAAGTCCTCGATTGTTGGAAAAGAAGGACCTAAAAATTTCAACACCGTAATTTAATTTAAAACTATTTTTACCCGATCCTAGGGAAGATGGACTAGATTGATCTGTGGCTATCTGACTTTGGGTTGGATATGAAGGGTAGACATGACCTAAAAAATAAATTAAAATAATCTCCAAAAATCATCCAGATGGAGAATAATTCTACGGGGTAATGATGGATAAAATACAAAAAAATATGGGCTATAACTGATCGCAACTCGAAATGAAAGTTCGGACCAATTTCTGATTATCACCGTTTCCAAGGCTTTATATTTTGGATTAATTTTCGTATTTAAATAAAAATAAAAATAAAGTATTATTACCAACTCCCAGGGGAAAATGATGTAATTGCGAATACTGAGTATGAAATGTGCCGAAATTTGGTGGTTGTATTTGATGTGGAAATGATGCCTGATTATAGCCTTTAATGATTTAAAAATTAATTGGAAGCCTACAAGAAGTTTCTCTAAAATAATCCCTATGTCTAACAAAGTGATCTGGGGGTATTTTAGAGAAAATTAGGCAATGATTAGTAGTTAAGTGCCTGTTGGCTGATTCAAGAGCATTTGGTTGTGAGGGGTAAATTGGTTGACATAACCTTTAATTGAGAAACGAAATTATTTTTTATTTAATATAATTAACCTGGATGATTTGAATTATGATGTTCAGGAAGATTTGAATATAACGAATCATCTATTAATTATTTTTTAACAATTCGGTTTTATTTTAATATATTTTACCAGAAATGGGGAATTGAGTACTGGGAGCAACAACATGATATGGCAAAAAATTAGAAGAATGAACCAGACTTCGTTGCAATTGCGAACTATATGTATTATAATAAATAATTAAATATAAATTTAAATTTTAGGCTTAACTATGTAGGTTTTTTTCTATTGTTTAGATCGGGAACCTGAAAATTAAAAAAATTAAATAATTTTTATGCTCCCATATATTTATGCTCCATTTAATATTCTCCCATAAGTAAGTATTAAAAATCCTCAAGTCTTTTGGATTCTTATTGGAATGCTTTTGTGGTATGAATTAGGGATGTCACGGGTTACCTGAAACCCGAAAAATTTTCAAAACCCGACCCGAGAAATTTTTTAAAACCCGACCCGACATTTTTATCAACCCGTGACATCCCTAGTATTAATGAAACGAATCCTTTATAAAAATTTTATTTGAAATTTTTTATTTTTCCAACTTTGTTTTCCAAAGATGGAAAACAAAAAAAAATGAATTTAAAAAAAATTTTTTAAAAATTATTATTTTAATTTATTTAAAATTATTTCTATTATTTAATAATTATACGTAAGCGCTGATATTTGGATTTTCTAAGAGTCCAAATTCATCTAAATAAATTTAATTTTAATTTTAAAATAATTTTAATAATTAAGGCAAAATTTTAGGCAAAATTTTAAATTAATATTAACTTCATATTAGCAAATTTAAATTTTTTAATTTATTTAAATTTCACTCAGTCGTGGCGGGTTTGATTGTTGTGTAGGAGGCGAAACCTTAAAAATTTATTTTAAAAAATAATAGGTATTTGTTTTAGGTATTTGAAATTTAATAGTTTAAACATCAAGAAATATTTTTCGTTTCGGAATTGACAGCTCTACTCATGAATCCCGATGAAAATATTAAACCTATTAAAAATATCAAACAAAAATTAATAATAATGAATAAAAATGCATTTGATCTATTGCATTATCTATTTGTGATATAAGGATCTAACAAAGGAGAGGCTTTTGGGTGTCCGTGGGACTTCGGGATAAAATTTGGTAGCAGGTAGATCATACCCTTTCTATTGTTAAATTTGCCTGTCTATAATCTACCTGTCTACCAAATTTCATCCCGAAGTCCCACGGACACCCAAAACACTTTTTTGTAAGGGATAGTGATTTGGAGAGATCGTGGATCTCAATATCTTGGAAGGATTAACGGAATTACGGAGGATATCGATGGATTTGAGGGATATCGGAGCATTGAGGGAGGTCCTACTTGGTAAACGAAGATTTTCTGAGCCTGTATTCTAAAATACTCCCATCTCCGGGTATTTCAAAATTAATTGGATTTGCAGACTTCAAATAATGCCAAAAATTACCAAATGAGGAGAGTTAGAAGAACTTTGTGGATTTCCACTAGAACTAGTAGCTTCTGACGTTTCAGAATTACTACTAGGATCGTCTTCTAAATTTGAAAATAAATTTAAATATTTTTAATTTTATAAAATTTTAAGATTTTTAAAAAATATTTGGTGAATTTTATATGTATTTATTAAAAAAAGCTTTTTAATTAATTATCCTTTTTACCCTCCTCGATTTGTTTCTCTTTATTCAATTTTTCCTTCTCATCACTCTCGGAGGTATTCGATTCAGGATTATATCCTTGTTTAACATCCATCGGAATTTCAGATTTAATATCCCTTGCTTCCGTTTTGAAAGTAACCCCTTCCTTTGCTTGACTTTCTGCATAAATTTGAAAATAAATTTTTGATAGTTTTTTATACTAAATAATTTATTTAAATTATTATTTTACCTTTCTTCTCGATTTGTTTCCCTTCTTTATTCAAATCTACTATCTTATCACTTTCGGAGATACTCGACTCCGAATTATTTTTTTGTTTAATTTTTTCTTTTGGAATTTTTACTTCAACATTTCCTATTTTTATTGTAGTAAACCCATCTAATTGACTGTCTGTACTGCTTTTCTGGAGAGTATTCTGGCCTTCTAAAGGTGTCCTTTGGGCATCAGTTTCTTCTCCTTCAACTTTTTTTAAAGTTGGATCTGCTACAGCAATTATATTCCCTCTCTCTTAATTTTATATAATTAAATTAATTGGAAGTAATTATAATTACTTGGTGGAGGTTGGCTAGAAGATACAGCCTTCACACCTTCTTCCTTCTGCTTTTCATCCCCACTTTCTCCAGTCTTTGTTTCCGTATTACTCGGAGTCTTCACTGTTGATTGTTGAGTATTTTGAATTTTGTCTTGAGAATTCTTTGGATGCATACCCACCTTCTCAAGTTTTGGTTGTTGAAAATGCGGGGACATTCCTCCTTTTTGGGATTGAACTTGCTGGTGTACACCTTTTGGATTACTCAATGGTGATGGTGGATTTTGACTCGGCTTCTGTCCAATTTTAGGAGGAATCATTTTGCTTGACTGACCAGTTTCAGTTATTTTAGGTGCTTTCGGAGCCTCAGATAATACGGAAGCGTATGTTTTGGGTGGTGTTCCTTTATCTTTTTCTTCATCAACTTTTTCAATTTTTCCCGTCTGTTTTTCATCCCCACTTTCTCCCTTTTCAGCTTCAGGATTACTCTGAACTTGTTCAACATTTTTTCCTTTTCCCCTTCTTTTCCTCACTCCTTCGGCATGATTTAAGATTAATAAAAATAAAATAAAAATCCAAAAGAATTTTAAAAGAAGCATGTCAATCAAAAGAAGGACTTTCTTAATTTATTTAAATTTAATTTTAAAAATATTTTTATAAAGATTTAAGAAAATTAAAGAAAAATAAAATAAAAATTTTAAGAGTGAATGCTGTTTTGCTTAGGTTATATAATATAAAGGAAAGAGTGCGCGTAATGGCTAATCAACGTAGACTAACGCTCGCCAATTATAGACTATATCTTTGATAGTTAGGGAAATTGAGTCTCTTGATAGTTAGTAGATTTGAGAGAGAGAGAGAGAGAAATAATTTTTTAAAATAATTTTTGTTTAGAATATAAAAGTTTTTAAACATTATATAGACTGTTTTAAAGCCGGAGAAGTTCCTAGAAAAGAGAGCAAACAAATCAAAACCTAGCAATTAAATTAACAGTGAAAACGATGGTGATTTGAAAGCTTACAAAATCAAAACCTATTCAAACTTAAGCTATTTTCTGAGCTCTTGACAGCTTTACATTATCTTTAATGGAGTTATTTTCAATAATATAGGATGGATGTTGTATTGAATATTTATCCTTCCAAAATTAAATTGAAAATATTATTGGAAATTATCCTCTTATATTGACCTGCCTTAACATGATGTCCTACAATTAATTCTTAAATATCTAAATTACCTATTGAAACCCAAGGAATACCGTTATAACGTAATTTGTCTAATTTTTCCTTGTACAGTAACCAAATTAAATATTAATTGGAGATGTTTTTTTTATTTTTTAAGTAATTTTGAAATTTTAAGCACTATCGGTGTTTTTCTTTATGGAGAAAACCTTCTTCTCTCTCTATCTTTTTTCTCTCCCTCTCTCTCTCTCTCTCTCTCTCTCTCTATCTTTTTTCTCTCCCTCTCTCTTGCCCTCGCCCTTCTCATGACTCTCAGTCTTGCGATTTTTAAATTTTAAATCTCGAGTGATTGATTTTGTTTATTCACGTGAATTAAAAATTGATTTCTCAATATTATGGCCGTCAATAATAAATATTTCTAAATTTTTGTTTATTTAAAAATTTATTTATTAATGTTGCACTTTCAACAAAGTGCATTTACCCATATGTTTTTATTACATAATGCTTGATAGGTAGATTTGGGGATTTCAACACTAGTGAAATTCTTTAATATGTACTTCAAAAGATTATGCCGGCAGGTATTAGAATTTTGTAAATAAAAAATTTTCTACATAAAGTCTGTTAGAGAATATGTTGAATTTTATTAATTTTTTTATTTTAAAAAATAATTAAAAATATATCTTTTTAAATTTCCGTGAAGCAATTTCAACACTAATGAAGACTTTCTTTAATCCTTCGAAAGATTATGCCGGCAGCCATTAAAATTTCAAAATAAAAATTTTTGTACATAAGGCCTGTTAGAGATATATTACTAACAGTTAAAAATATATCTCTGAAGCTAAGTTACGTTCTAAAATTTAATTTACGAGAAGAGTTTTTCAACAATGTATGACAGATCTTATAATGTTTATCGCAGAAAAAAAATGTTTGTTTTTTTCAAATTTGATATTACAAATGATAAAAAATTTTAAAAAATATTTAGGGTAATTCAACACTAAAGTCAACTGTATATTTAAATATATTTTAATTAATATTTAATTCTAATTAATAAATATTCTATTTTAATTAATTCATTTTTGATTGATAATTTTTATATCACTTTCTATTTTAATTAATAAAAAATAGTAAAGCTAGGCTGGCTATAACTATTTCTTCTTCAGCTTTTCTCCTTTAGCTAGTGCAAAAGGTTATTCGCCGGCTGTGAGCGAAACAGCATTTTGAGTTTAACGGACTGATTTATTATCTCATGCTTAGCTTTCGGAATTAAATAGGTATATTTATTAAAGTTGAAATCCGGAACGGATTCGGTCCGGATTTTCCGGATCCGGTAGTCCGAAATCCAGGTATTTTGATGAAAGATGGATTTTACGGATTTTCCGGATTTCGATATGGAGAATCCAATCCGGATAGAAAAAAATTTAAAAATCCGGAAACCGGATCAGGCATTTTCAAAACTTTTAACTCTAATATTTATGCTTTACAAAATACAGTGGTGGTCATATGTTTATGGACAACAACGATTTATTAATAATATCCTTCATAACGAAACTAAATAAGAATCAATCGAAAATAAAAAACGACAGTTCAGATACTCAGTTCATTTGCTATAAAATACCTTAGTTTCATTAAAATCCGCCATCATTATCATAATTAAAACCCGGTCCAAATATATTTACCCCTATTTTTAACGCGTCATATGTTTATGGACAAATGTGTTTTCCATATAAAACTTTTTAGATTAATGCCAAAAAATGAGATTATCGCTACTCCGTGGACACCTTCATTAATATTGAGTAGAAATAAAAAGAAAAAAGTCTGTCACTTCCTTCTTCATCGAGATCTCGAATCTCAAAAATCAACGGAAAATGGGGGTACAGTACTTTAAAAATATTTTTACCCCCTAGAGCTTTTATAAAAAAATTTCTTTTAGGCCTATCTGGAAGCCAATAAAATTTGCTATAAAATAGTACAAGTTTTTATTTTTCCAATAAAAACTCATGGAGCTGAAGGCAGGGCAATTTCTTATGTTACCATTTTTGGGGTATTTTAGGTGATTTTTGACCATTTTTATGTGAAAGTCGATGTACGTCGAACAACTATTTTTTAGAATAAATGAGACCAGAACTATTTTGTAGTAAATTTTATGGGCTTTCAAATGAGCCTAAAAAATTTTTTTTATAAAAGCTCTTGGTGGTTAAAATATTTTTTGAAGTACTGTACCCCCATTTCCCGTTGATTTTTGAGATTCGAGATCTCGATGATGAAGTAGGTTACAGACTTCGTTCTTTTTGATTTTCTACTTAGTATCGTTCGAAATGTTTACAGAAATTTTTGTAGAATTTTTGCACTAACTAAAGTAGGAAAATCCAAGGTTATTTAATTTGTCCATAAACATATGACGCGTTAAAAATAAGGGTGAAGAGATTTGGACTGGATTTTAATTATGATAATGATGGTGGATTTTAATGAAACTAAGGTATTTTATAGCAAATGAACTGAGTATCTGAACTGTCGTTTTTTATTTTCGATTGATTCTTATTTAGATTTGTTATGAGGGATTTTATTATAAATCGTTGTAGTCCATAAACATATGACCACCACTGTAAATAAATTTAGAATAATAATTTCAATTTTGTCTACTACAATTCTTCGTCATTTGTTTATTTTTTCAATAATATTTTTGATTTTTGACTAAACCTTCTTTTTATCCAAAAAGGCAAAATTATGTTTAAAGTACGAAAAATCGGCTGTAATTAAAAAAATAAAAATTTATTGTTAAATTGACTTTTTAGGGTTATAAAGAAGGGTGTGCTTCAACTTAAACTTATCTGAGTCGTTTTAAGACTGTTTGTTTGATAACTAGGGTTGGGGTTTTCGAGTCGGGTCGACGTTCGAGTCATTTTTTCTGGCCTCATTTTTATTGGGCCGGCCCGATCGAGTCTTTTTCGTGCCAAAATTTGATGCCCAATTCGATCCTTCGGGCCGGGCCGGACCGGGCCCCCAACCCTACTGATAACCCGTATTTTTAGAATTCTAGCCGAGTTTTATAAAATATCCAATTTAAAAATTAATTTAAAAAAATTTACGATTGTACTCTGCCAAACCACGATATGAGTCTTCTAATTGTTTAGAAATAGGGGACTCCAAAATCTTTTTTTGCGCTTCAATTAATTTTTTACGATTACCGCCTATAATCCCAACATCATTTTTCTGTGCATTTGTTGCTGGATGTGTTATTATAGCATCATCTTTTTTGTGTTCATCGTCAAATGGATTCTGGACATTTTCGATTTTTTCCATACTAAAATAATCATTTTTTAGATTAACTTGGGGGGAATAGTGTTGAATTTTATCACTGAATATTTATTTATTTTATTAAATAAAATTGTTTGAAAAATTGGAATTAAAGTTAGTCCATCTGGGATGGCTTCTAACTTCTTATTCTTTTAATTTTTATAAATTTTTTTTCAAATTAAAGAAAAAGAACTAGCTAGCATTCTTACTAGGCGAGAGTTTAAGATATTAAAAAAGATATGAAATCAGCTCGCCGATATCTCAGTCGGAAGAGCACATTTTACGGTGTCATCGAAGGCGCCTAGCAATAATTAAGGATTTCGGAGGATTTATTCCCTGAAGCAAACATTGCTGCTTCTTTAGCTTCTGTTTTCCACCAAATTATATTTTTTTATCAAACATTTCCGCCGAAAAAAAAGGTAACTGAAAAACTTACTTTTCTCCGTCCAAATAATTGTGTCTAGGGTGAAATACCCCTGTACCTCCAGTTCCTTTAGCTTGGTTTACTAATTGTGTTAAATACTTCTTCATTGGATGAGGTAAAATATCTTTAGTTACCCAAATAATTTTTTTTTTAAGTTTTTAAATAAAACTAACGATCATTAACAATAGTTTGTTTGTTTTGATTATTATCAACAGTTTTTACTTTTTGATAAAAATAAAAATTTAATAAAAAAATAAGGGAAAATTTTAATAATTTTAAATTGGAAATAAAATACATAATAAATAATTAAAAAAAATTTTTTTCTCTTCTATAATTTTTAAATTTATTTTAAAAAATAAAAATAGGTAGTTTAAAAAAACGACACGAAAGGGAGATGACGAGAGGAGGAAAAAAGGGCAACCTGTGCGGCATTTATTAAAAGAAAATATTTTTTTAATTTATTATTATTGAATAAATGGATTTTGCTTGAATAATCATAACACATTTTAATTTAAAAATAAAAACAAAAGTGCAATATTATGGGCGTTTGTCGGCAAATTTATTTTTAAAAAATATTTTTTTAAAGATTTGTCCAATTAGAAATAACAAAAAATTCCTTACAGTGAAACTTTTCAATCCCAGGAAAAATAAAATAGAAACCAAGTTAATGCAAAATATTATGTAGATAAAGGGATTG